TTGTCGTCCCATTGTTCTTCTTTCACCTTCTTCCATTACAACACCGGTTTCTCCGTGCTTTGTCCAACAAATATAGTTTGGCATGAAACCGGACTTGAACAAGTGTGAATGAAGAGTCCTTGGGCAAGGATATTCCACCGTATTCTTACATATGGCACATGGGCAAAGACATGAAACCGTCGCATTTGTTTGCCTCGGCAAGCACGTAACAAAGAATGCACGCCACAATGAACTCTTGGGAGCGGCGATCAAGATTATACATCCAATGACGGCTCATCTCAGACACATGACATAAATACCATATTAAAACCTAGATCATAATTAATTTTTATACAACATGCGTGCCACCACAAAAGATACAAATTTATGAAAGCATCGCTACAATGTAGACAATCCCAACTACCACTAAAAGAACTAAAGCTAAAATACATTTCAAGAGCACTAGGATTTCACGATCAATCTCAACTAAAATGCAGATGATCCTCCGATTGTGCAACATCTTTGGGCTTCTTCGGCCGGATCACCGCCTCATTAGCCAGATTCACTTTTGTAGTAAGATATTTTTGTACGAGTTCAACATACTCTTCCTCCCAAAGAGAAGCCCTGAACATCGTCCACTACCATCCCACTAAAATTAAAAACAAAAATTAGAACTTTAATCACAACCATCATGAAAATAGGTATAAACTAACCATAATCATTAAATACGATAAAATAACTCACATTGCGATCCGGACACTTGTAGAAGATACGATCCTTGTTGGGACCCTCCTTCTTCACTCGGTACTCCATCACAATCTTCGTCTCATCACGACACTTGCCGCATGGAATGAGAGGGAGGCCCGGCCTAAGTCGCTTTGGAAACCCATGAGAGGCCGAGGACCCGGAAGCAGTTGCCATCTACTCTCTATACTCATTTTTAATAAATTTCTCCTTTTATAAACAAATAAAATTAAGAAACTATAAAATTATCTAGATCTCTAAACAATAATATTTTTAATAGTCACTGTGTTCTCGTCTTTTACTGCGGCAGGTAAGTAATTCACATGATATTTCCGCAAATTAATAGAAGAATGGGAGTGTACACACATAACAGACTACTGCGACGATATCAGAACGTGTGAATAAATAACCATCCGTACTAATTGACCTTGCTTACGTGATCATCTCGGCGAGCATTTCTCCACCGGACGGCATCGTACTTGGCCACGGAAGAGCTCCAATTCTACGAGGAAGGGAACACGGTCTTCCACGACCATTGCTGCTCTCCCTCGTAGAATCAAAGCTCCTCCTTGATGTCCGTTACCGCTCGGCAGAGAACGTGCTCGCCGAGATGAACACGGTCCACAAGTTCAACTAGCTACTTTAACCTTATTTCATGTAAATATGCAAGCTTGAAGTGATTTTGAGCTCAAATTGCTTACAAATGAAAAAAACCACAATAAAAAACCATATATATATATAGTGAACAAAATGAGATAAGACAATGGTGAAAAATGAGAGTATAAGATTGGTAACCTTTACAACTGAAGAATCGACGGAGGAATCGAAGAAATCGACGGAGAAATCGAATAATGGATGGAGGAACAATGGAGGGAGGGAGGAAGCAAGAACACTAGTACAGTGAGCTTCAAATTGTGCTGAGCTCGGACTCGGGGAGGAAGAAGGAGACGGCCGGGATATAAAGGGGGGACCTTTAGTCCCGGTTGGTGGCTCCAACCGGGACTAAAAGTAACTTTTCAACCCCGGGCGCAGCCACGGCCCGGGAGTAGACCTTTACTCCCGGTTGGAGCCATCAACCGGGAGTAAAAGTATACCTTTAGTCCCGGTTGGTGGCTCCAACCGGGACTAAAGGTCCCTGCCACCTCTGTCTGGCGCAGTAGCCGTTGGGGCAGGGACCTTTAGTTCCGGTTGGAGATACCAACCGGGACTAAAGGTATTTCTAGTCCCGGGCGTAAAAAATTGCAGGACTAGAGCCCATTTTGATCGAGGATCAAAGGTCTGTTCTCTACTAGTGTATAGGGAATGAGATGGTCCTATCTCTGTTTTCTGGAATATGACAGTTCTATTTTAGTGTTCGTTAGAAAGATGGAGTCATTCTTGTCTTTTGTTTGGTTTGATGGGACTGGGATGACTCTTTATTTATGACGTTAGCACTGCTGCACTAGGCATCCAGTGCAAATCGCGGCTGACCTCTGCATGCACCACTGATCTCTCTCGTCCACCTAGTGGGGTTCACCGAGGCCCGAGTCTCGCCCGATCTCTCAAGTCCAGGTGGGGGTTCGCCGGAGGCCGAGTCTTGCCGTATATTTCCCATATTCCTAAGCTCACAGAGTCACCCTCTCCTGTTCGCCCGAGCTCTCTGGGCAGGAGGTGTCCGCGAGGACAAGGCTCACCCGACGGCCCTATGCGCCATGGCCGTCGTCCTTGCAGGTCACAGCCGTGCGAAGCCGCCCCTAACTCAATCTTCTTCATGCACCAACTCGCCAAGGCTATTATCGCCGCCCCCACTATGCGCCATGCCTGCTGCTGGCACGTCTGGTGTCTTAGCTCCATCTGCCATGGAGGCTTGCGCAGAGAGCACAAAATAGAGCACGAGCGAAGAAGAAACGGAAGTCCACGTTGTAAACTAGGATAAACTTGTGCGTGCTTTTTTGAGGGACGAGCGTACTCTAGATCTATAAGAAATATTTCTGGTGAGATGTGTTGACTCCAACTCTCTTATCCGAACACTAATAAAAGTAGGTCCATCTCATTCTGTCTCCAGAAATCCTTAGAAACGAAGGATACTTAAACCAACTCCACTATAAAACAATTTCCTAATTTAATTTTATTAGTAAAATAGAAAAAAATACCTCCAAGATTTTTTATAAAAAAACTTCTAATAAAAATAAGAAAAATCTCGTATCCAACTCTTTACTATCCGCCACTCACCTCGTGCGCGCGGTTTTAATGATTTTGGCGCGAATCCAGCCTGGACGCCGCCTCCCGATCCCTGACCTTCTCTTCCTCCTCCGCCGCCGCCGCCTGCCCCGCACGACTTCAGCTACGGAGGTTCCGCAGAGAAAAGCATCCGATTCCATCAGTTCTTGTGAGATCCAGGGTGGTCGTGCCCTCCAAGGCTCCAAACAAATCCTGGAACGCGAGCAAACCCCCGTCGCTTCTGGAAACAGAGCCACGGACGGGTACTGTTGAGAGTAATCTGCAAATGGTGATGGCAGAGTCTAGAACCCATTTCTCATGTATTTGTCAATAGAAAACTGAGGTTCAGTAGAGGGACATGTATCCTAATTAATTTCTAGTTTTCATGCTTGTATTGGCCCATGGTGTGGTAGTGGCAAACAGGTGCTCCTAGAGTGTTTTTGAGTGGGGCTTTTTCTTGTTTTGCCACTTCCATTAAAAAAAACTGAGGTTCAGTATAGGTGGTTGGGGCCGGCCGGACAGTCAGAGTCAGCGATTTTTTATTAGCAACAGGATGTTGCAAACTGTTGGAGATAGAAAAAAAATAGTTTCCTATCAATTTAGTCACTTGGTATAATCTATGATTTGGCAAGTGTTTTTAAGAGCAACTCAAGAGCCTCTCCATATCGTTTCTTACCGATAGAAATAGAGATTTTGATGCAAAAATGCTCCAAATATTGTCATCCTCTATTTCAGATTTTTCGCTAGCCAAAGATAGAGAACGGGATTAACTCTCTGTAATGTGCATAAGATATAGAAAAGTTGTTAGATGGTAGAAAGATATAAAAGACGATTTTTTATGAAATAGTTCTACAAATAATGATTTAGAGAGTTTTTGGAGATGCTCCAGTCTCTCCAACGGACCCGGAACTGCTGGATGCACAGAACTTATTGTTAAGCTGATCGTTCTCTTCAATAGCCTTGCCCGCTTAGTTCATCTATAGCTCTTGCATTACGCTTCTCTTCAGCTAAGGATCTCTTCAGATTATCGAATTGATTCTCTATCACTAGAAAGTTGAAGCGTGGTGTAACAAGTAATCCATGCTAAAATGTTTGAAGGCTGTAATGAGAAATTAAATATGCTACCTATCTGCTCTTTCTCAAGCATGTTGAAACTTTGTTTTGCCCATTTTATCATCCCTGGGAGGATGTTGGTGGATCTTCCCCCCGGGCTGATGTTGTTTTTTAGTTTTCTAGCCTCCTTTTCTTGCTTGTACAGTTTTCCCTTCTCGTGTTCTTTGTACAGTTGCACTTATATTTTAATAAAATCCTAACAGTGGGGGAAATAACAAGTCTGATAGGCTGCATGATTGTTGGCGACAACAAATAAGTGGCGATGTTGAAATAATTACTGGTGTTTACATGTGTATCATTAATAAAGTAAAACATTAGTATTAGTACTGACCAATTTGTGCATGTCCCAATCATCATGGCAACTACTCCAGCAAAGCTCTGGCTTGGCTGTCTGTCAAGCCTCTTGCAGCCTGAGGTTTCCTAATAACAATAATAATAGATCGGAAATTGAGATTTTATACAAAATGTTATATGCAGCGGTGCTGCAAATCCACTTCAGTGCAGCATTGCTCCTGTTGGATGTCACTTGTCCCATATACAGATTCCGGTTCCACATCGGACCTTGCTTTGCATTGCATCAGTTTCAAGCATAATGGAATTTACATTATCCTGATACGCCTAACGCAGTACTTAGAATATCATATTACAGAATAGAACGAACCAACCAAACACCTTCTAAGAAGCAAGCTACAACTGAACAGAAGGAAACGACACTATACAAAGCTACTAACAGGCAACCTGGGGAAGAAACAGTCTAAACCATCACCCGAAGCTAGACAAAATAAAACCAAGGTCCGATGCAAACGCCAATTATCACCACCGGACCACTGAGTTGGGAAGTCGCTCAACACCAGCCACTGTTTCAGTCAAAGAAGTCCAAAAGGGCTATCAGAAAAAAGATTAGGTCCAAACTCTAAGGATCAGCTGCCTGTGGGGGCTGGTCGTTAGCCATGACCAGCCTGTGGCTAACAGATCCCCGACTTGCGCCTCGATCCAGGGAGAGCATCAGAGTTGATCGGCTCTAAGTCGTTAGGAATGGCTCTTGCTGCATCCAAGACCTTACTGACATATCTTCTGTGCTCTTTCCTAGCATATTTCAATTCCTTGTCAAGATAGTCAACTTGATTTTCTAGATCTAGAAAAATTGAAAGGTGGTGTAAGATTTAACTCATGACAGAATATATGAAGGGTTTAAAGAGAGTTAGAACTTTTACGTGTCTTCTCTGACTCAAGCATATTGGAATAATATTTGAGTGTAGCGAGTTCCTCACTTTTCTCCAAAATATCTGACATCAGAGCCTTGTTATCTGCTCTTCCATGTTCCAGTTCCCTGAAATTGAGATCGAGTAATAGTAAATTATTGTTCTGGGGGGGGCAACTAACTGAGAATTTTTAAGAGAACGAACTCATTAAGTTTGAAAATCTCCTCTTTTAAGGCTTCATTCCGGCTTGCAGTAGTATGTGCTATTTCAGATTCTCTTTGGAATCTCTCATCAAGAACTCTTGTTCTCTCAATAGCAGCTTCTCGATCATGTTCCACACTTTGGAGCTTCTTTTCAAGAAGTCTAGTTCTCTCAGCAGCTGCTGCCCTTTCATTTTCCAATTCTCGTTGGAGCCTCTCTTCAAGAATTCTTGTTCTCTCAATAGCAGCTTCTCGTTCATGTTCCAGTTCTCTTTGGAGCTTCTTTTCAAGAAGTCTAGTTCTCTCAGCAGCTGCTGTCCTTTCATTTTCCAATTCTCGTTGGAGCCTCTCTTCAAGAATTCTTGTCCTCTCTCTTTCATTTTCCAATTCCCTAAGTTGTGGCCAAGTAACAAGCATAGACAATTACACAAATTGTTCAAAGGGGAAAAACTTGTTAAAGAAAATCTTAAGGAAGCTCACTCTATTGATTTTGTGTTCTCTGCCTTCAATTTGCTTATGTGGGCATCATACCTTCCCATGATTCTTGCGTTACTCTGGTATTCATGTTAGAAAATAAGAAAGCCATACTTACTGCTTCAATTATAACTTCTGTAAGAAATGTGTTTACCTCATTGATCAATGTGAGAAAATCTCCCCTCAAGTTTTCATCATCCTGGACAGTCGGCCTTGCACTGGATGAGCTCTCAACCATAAACGAAATATTGGTCATTTGTGCAGTTGGTCCTTGTCGCTGGTTCTCAATATCAGAGGTCGCCGGAAGCCTGAAACTCTCTGGGTCCTGCTTGGAGTCTAACTGATTGTGGGCAACCATCTCCTCTAGGATAGGTGATGCTTGCCACACAATCAAGGCTCTGGTCTCAGTAAGACCACATGCTGAGTCAAAGTCTCTACCCTTAATTCCTGATAAAGCATCTCTTTCGACAAGAGCAAGATCCTGAAAAAAGAAGTTGCAGTTTTTCAAGGAAAAAAAAAAAAAAAAACTATCCTACCTCAGACAATTATGGATAAATGGTAAAAGATAGTAAACTAATTCCTAATCTCCCAAACCCTCATTGGCTTCATCGATCACCTCAATCACTACCTTATGTGCCTTACTTTCTGAAGCAGCAAGTGTCAGTGCAGTGCTTCCTTCTGCAGTGATACCCACCACTGAAGAAAGGGTCGATTCAGAGGACACCCTTTCCTTCCTCTTCTTCATGGTGACAACCTTGCGCCTCTTAGGGGGAAATATCAGTGACCTGATGTGTTGCAGGCTATGATCAGGTCTATAAATTATTAAGAGCAACATGTAAGACAGTGCTCTTACCAGGAAAAGTTAGAATAAGGGAATTTCAAGCTAAGTGCTATATGTTAATCATCTAGTTGAAATAATAGTTCGAAACGGACAAGTAGAGCCTTGGCTATTGCCACAGACTGATGACAACAAAATATTGACATCAGTATATCATGATTTTTCATGATGTGCATCACAAACAATAGTTACCTATTTTACACAGAGGATTTCAGATAAAGTTAATATTGGTAGAGAAAATGTAATTAAACCAAGTTATTTTGACTGATACAGAAACCCATTAAACGCTAATAAGTAGCTACCACCTATCAACCAGCTGGTTAAGCAAAACTGCAGACAAACAACAAATAGGGATAGAAGCAGACAAGACCTTTTCCCAAAAAAAAATGAAGCAGACAAGACCTGAGCTTCTCCAATGGATTCCCCAGAAAAATGCCACACTTTGGGCAGCACTTTATGTTGTCTTTCGCAACCTTGTCATATATGCATTTCCTGCAAACTGATCAAACTACGCCGTCATATCAATGGCCGAAGAAATGTAAGTTCAGGGTGTTTACGAATTACAATGCGTTTTTTTTACGGGACTAAGCACTGCCATTGAGCAGCTTGATCCTGGCGACAAAATATGCGCGCATGGAGAGCAACAATGATTTTTTTTTTTGACAGCACAAAGCACTGCCATTGAGCAGCTTGATCTAGGCGACAAAACATGCGCGCATGGAGAGCAACGATGCAAGTTTCTTTCTTTCTTTTTTTTTGACAGCACTAAGCACTACCATTGAGCAGAACACAGATTGCGATATCAAAATCGAACGGAACCCAATCGGGATAGGCAAACTGCAACAGGGAAAGGGAGGCCATGCCCATCCCCGGCGGCCAGGACGCCCACATCGAAAGGAGTCGCATTTGGAGCTTACAGGCGTGGAGGCACTCGGTGAAGGCGGTGGCGTCGTGGAGGAGTCCGCCGCAGATCCCGCAGCTGACGCGCGGCGCGACGACCGAGCCGCGCACAAGCGACTCCTCCGCACCCGTGCCGCCGCAGCCCCCCTCCCGAGCGGCGGCGTCGCGAGGTGGCTGATCAGAGTGCAGGATGGTAGCGCTGTTGGCGGTGTTAGGGCGCGGGCCTGCGGTCGACGGCACCGAGGCTTGCCGAGCTCCCTGTAGCATGGCGGATGGGTGGATTCAGGGTAAGGATGGCAACGGGATGTACCCGTCGGCTATCGCTTGAAAGTTCTCTTCCCCCCGTCTTCATCTCCGATAACTTTTTCGGATATAGATTCTTGCCTATTTTTGTACCCGTCGAACATAGATTGGGTAACAAATATCCGACGGGTACTCCATACCCGATAAACAAGGACACTTGGGGTTGTAGCTTTGCAATCGGAGACGTTTCTTCTTCACCTGGCTATAAGTGTCGGAGTTTCGGAGATGCCGAGAAGAAGGAGCGAGGTTGCGAGGACGAGCAAAGGTGGCAGAGAGACCGAACTGAGGAAGCGAGGGGCACGAGCACTCGTGAGGCAGTCGTGCTTGTGCTGCTGGCGGAGATGGTGAGGAAAAATTGAACTAGGGTTCCTAGAACACACAAACTATATATATGATTGTTCAGATTTGAGCCAAAATACCTATGTTGAGTTTCTTTGGACCTAATACTCGTATGACAACTTAAATAGTCGGGTTCCCCAACGGGTAACGGGGACGGGTAAACAGGGAACGTTTCCGTACCCGCTATACCCGTCGGGGATGGATTCTTGCCCATTTAAATACCCACGGGTAAAGATATGATCCCATCTCCGTTCCCTAATGGATCAAATACCAGTCGGCTATCGGGTATCGGGAGCCCGTTGCCTATCCCTATTGGGTTTTGCTGAGTCGCTGACTGAAGGCTAGGTGGCAACGCCCGCGTCGGCCCATTCGCTTAGCTAAAAAAAATCAAAATATTATTTTGGTTAATTTGTTACGAGAGAAAAATATTGTTCCGACTAAAAACTAAGCTAAAAATATGGATCAGGACCGTTCGTAGCCAAGTAGAAAGAATCCCCCTCTTAATTTAATTAAGGTGACACAGTTCTCAATTTTTTTTAAGGTGATACGGTCTCTCAAGTATGGAACAGCTAATTGTTCATTTATTTTAGGTATAGATTACTTATGATTATTAGATAGTAATATTTAATTATAAATCTAACCAAATTAAATTTGTATTTGTTAAAATTAGTCGCTAATTATTGACTAACAAAGACTATAAAATTTAAATCTTGGTGTGTGTAGGGAGCAATAAGAATCTTAGGCTCCATTTGTTAGGGCTACGGTTCCTTCCAAAATGGCTCTAGATTCAGTTATCAAAAGGGCTCCGACTCCACCTACTTTATGGAAGAGCTTCTCTAGTGGAGCATAAGCTATTTTGAAAAATATTTAGCAAAAATAGCTTCAGTGGCTGTTTTATAATTATTTATCACAAGAAACCAAAACCGAAGTCCTCCTTAGTACTCCTTTGGCGATTTCAAAATAAAAAATAGCAATAAAAACATGTTATTGCTAATTTGCTATTGAGAACTAATTGTCCAGGAGCGGGAAATCTTGAGATGACTTCGTCAAATTGCAAATGCATTTCATCGTTGCATTCTCCTGTTAGCACAACCGGAATAGAGCGGCTAATTCGGAGTTTGGATGACAGAATTACAGCTTCGGGAAGGTCCATACTGCAAAAATCGTCCATGCCGATTTTGGCTAACTCCTAAAATCGGATAGACCGGTTTATGCAAAATGACACCAATCGAACCGTTGCGATCCATGTGCTCCTAGCATTTTAGATGTGGGATCATAATTGTGTCAACGATTACATTGATTCTTTATTACTCCTGTTTGATGACGTTGTTCAATATCAAAGGAGGAGTATTTTAGAGTATCTTCAACAGACCTTTTATATGGTTCTTTATCATTAAACTAGAAAAACAAACCAACAAATCAGGCTTTCAATAGTCTTTATAAACCACTCTTTATCTTTTTCGCTAGTTACGTTACTATCTAAATTCAATATATGATAGTTTTATCATAATTTTTTTAACATAAGGCTATATAGCTATGGGTCGTTTGGTGCAGCTCCCAGGAGCTCCGCTGCACAACTGTAGATACAATGTATAAGTCTTGTAGCGCAACTGTGCTGGTCCAATATAAGGGTTATATTTTTTTTATCATACCACCCGTCGTGTCAAGATTTTAACATGGTACATTCCTCCTGTTCATACCGTATAGCGTGTAGCATATCTGTATGCTAGAGCATGTCGTTATTCTTGTAGGTTAAGGCTCTGTTTGAATGTTTTTCCTGTTTCTATGTTTTCATGTGAAAGATAAACTGATTTATGCAAAATTTCTATATAAATATTTTGAAATTCCTTCATTCCCAAGGGCCAAAGAGCATCTCCAAGAGTACCCATATCCCTTCCCCATCCATGTATTTTGGGGAAAAAAAGAAAAACTCATCTCCAAGAGTACCTTATATCTCTTCCCCATCTTTTGACACTTACAAATTGGCTGGTACCGCGCGTAAAAATACGTGCAGTGAGGTCGCGCGCATCTCCTCCTTCCTGCGTCGTCTCCTCCTTCCCGCGGCTATTTCCCGCGCGTCGTCTCTCCTTCGCATGGCGCGTGGTCTCTTCTCCGTCCAGGGTCTTCGATCTCGGCTGCCGCTGGCGGTAACATCCCAGATGTTAAAAAAGTAATTAAGAAAGTGATCATGTCATCATTATGCATAATCATTATGCATCAACTCATGAGTGCATTTCATGTTTTTATTATAGTATGCAAATGTTATTTTATGGAGTGTTTTATATATTATTGAAATAATGTTAATAATAATGATTAGGAAACTTTATGAATCTTGATGTGGGAATCTTTTAAACAAGTCAAATTCTTCCTTAATAAAAGTTTTATAATCTTTATTGCAATGCTTGGTGTGAACCTTGTTTTATGATATGTGTTGACTTGTATGGATGAATCAATTTCAAAACATTTGTGTTTAATTGGATTTCTGAAAACCTGAATTTCCAGCATTTAAGTTTACCCTGGGTAACCCATTTCAAAATCTAAGCATATTTTGGGGTTGAGCTTAAAAGCAAAAATGTAAAGCTTGTCGAGATGTACAAAGTTTGTTTTTGGAGTTTTTAAAGTTGTTTTATAAAATTTGAAGTAATTTGAAAAGGCGAGATTCTTTAAATGTTCCCTTTTTGAATTCAAATTTGCATTTCAAAATGTAGACCGAATTAGGGGGTGGTTATAAAAGCAAAGTTGTAGAACTTTAAATTTTGAACAACTGTTATTTTTGGAGATTTTTGAGTTGTTACATAAATTTGGGAGTAATTTGGATTTTCAAATCGAATGACAGTTTGGTAATTTTGATGAACAGTAACCGCGGAAGCCAACTCACCGTCTACGATCTTCCTTCTGCTTCCAAACGCGACGGTGGCCGCCCTTGGCTTCGCGCTGGCACGGGAAAGGCTCATGCGTGGCTTCTCCTTGCTTCTGAGCCGCTCTATAAGGACTTCACCGTCGCCGTTTTTCGCCACTCTCCTCCTCTGTTTTCCAGTCGCCATCGCCGCTGCTCCATCGTGCGTTTGCCGTCGCCGTAGTGCCTCCACCGTTTCGGCAAAGCTTGTTCCAGCTCCGCCTACTCCTTGCGCACCTAGCTAATCGAGTCTTGGTGCCTGATTCCGCCGGGAACCCGCTGTGCGCGCCTTTCTTCCCTCGCGGCCAGTATCCTCACCGTCGTGCTTGCGCCGTCGTGGCCAGCGCTCTCCGGTGAGCCGTTGCTCTTGCTTAGTGTACCTCCAGCTTCGCCTTGATGCCGTGGTGCTTAATACCTTGTTGCATGATAGTTTTGTCCACCGCAGTCGCCGGAGCACCGCCACCGCCGA